ATCAGGATTTGATTTTAAAATATATATTTAATGTAAATCTTGGATCCCCTATTGTGACCCCACCCTACCCCTGGGGGTCATAATTTGAACAAACTAGAATCAACACTACTTGAGAACGATTCCATCAAAATATCAATGATCATGGCTTTGAAGTACTTGTGAAGACGATCTTTAAAGATTTCCCTTTCAAGTCCTGTGTAAAACTTTGATCAGCCATTGTGGCCCCATCCTACCCCCAGGGGTCATGATTTGAACAAACTTGAATTTACTTTATCTAAGGATGCTTCCACATAAGTTTTATCTTTCCTGGCCCAGTGGTTCTTGAGAAGAAGATTTTTAAAGATTTTCCCTACATACTCCTATGTTAAACTTTGGTCAGCCATTGTGGCCCCACCCTATCCCCGGGGGTCATGATTTGAACAAACTTGAATCTACACAACTTGAGGATGCTTCCACATCAGAGTTTCATCTTTCCTGGCCCAGTGGTACTTCAGAAGAAGATTTTTAAAGATTTTCCCCATATACTCCTATGTAAGAATTTGGTCGGCCATTGTGACCCCACCCTAACCCCCGGGGTCATGATTTGAACAAACTCGAATCTACACTACCTGAGGATACTTCCACATGAGTTTCATCTTTCCTGGCCCAGTGATTCTTGAGAAGAAGATTATTAAATATTTTCCCTTTATACTCCTATGTAAAATTTTGGTCAGCTAATGTGGCCCCACCCTACCCCCGGGGGTCATGATTTGAATAAACTTGAATCTACACTATCTGAGGATGCTTCCACATGAGTTTCATCTTTCCTGGCCCAGTGGTTCTTGAGAAGAAGAATTTTAAAGATTTTCCCTATATACTCCTATGTAAAACTTTGTCGGCAATTGTGGCCCCACCCTACCCCCGGGGTCATGATTTGAACAAACTTGAATCTACACTACCTGAGAATGCTTTCATACGAGTTTTATCTTTCTTGGCCCAGTGGTTCTTGAGAAGAAGATTTTTTTAAAATGCCATTAATTTTTCACTAATTCATCATTATCTCCCCTTGGAAGAGGGTGTGGCCCTTCATTTGAACAAACTTGAATCCCCTTTACCTAAGGATACTTTGTGGCAAGTTTGGTTGAAATTGGCCCAGTGGTTCTTGAGAAGAAGATGAAAATGTGAAAAGTTTACGACGCCGACGACGCCGACACCGACAACGCCAGACGACGGACAAATTTTGATCAGAAAAGCTCACTTGAGCCTTCGGCTCAGGTGAGCTAATAATATTTAATTATGACAAAATAAATCATACAATTTGATAAATAAAAAAAAAATAAAAAGAGCAGGCGATCGATTATAATTTCATTTCCGAAAATAGAGTTACTGTTTAAATTTTGATAATCACTCTCTGCATGACCATAATATAATTATTTCATTTATTTATTTTTTTTTATCAATTAACTTATTTATTTATAAATTACGTTATTTATTTATTCTTTTCCTTCTACGCTTTAATATTTCTTTTAATTATGAAAAACAATGGGATAAAACTTTGTTTTCTCTTTTTCGGTTGAAGTAATCTTATTTTAGTTAACAAAACGAAAAAGATTCTCAGAATAGCTCTGTAGTTTCTCTCTTTGGTAAAGATAAAATGCAAGGGTTTCCGAATATACTCGATAAACGCAAAACACAATAAACACAAAACACGATAGAACCTGATAAACGATCTACACGATAAACGGAAAACACGACAGAAAACGCAAAACCTGATAAACGGAAAACACGATACGATAGGATACACGCACGATACGATAGGATACACGCACAATAGGACACGATAGAATTGTAAAGAATAACAATGCGGGTACTGTACCTGTTTTTAGCTATACTGAGGTCTGTGTTAGCTATTATTCTGTCTCTATACGTTACCTGTTTTTAGCTTTACTGAGGTCTGTGTTAGCTATAATTCTGTCTCTATCTCTATACATTACCTGTTTTAGCTATACTTAGGTCTGTGTTAGCTATAATTCTGTCTCTTTCTCTATACATTACCTGTTCTTAGCTTTACTGAGGTCTGTGTTAGCTATTATTCTGTCTATAACAGGTGACAGTCTTTTCTCCACTTTGTAATACTCCTCCACTTTTGTGGGCTCCAGACTTTCTGGGTATTCCTTTGGTTTGTTTTCCTCAGTAATAAGAATGATATCAGGCCTACAAAGGAAACAATACTGCCTAACACACAATTGTAAGTGAACAGAGCAAATGTCTATGCTCCTTTTGTCCAAATTAGTGCACTGTAATCTGAAATCTAGGCATTGATAGTGAACAGTTCGTACCTAGCCACATGATATGATATTACAGTGTATTGGAAGTTTTAGATATAAATGTCAAAAGTTTAAGTAGGAAATTGTAGAAAGGAAAGTTCTGTCTAAACAGTTTTTTGTTCAAACAAATACTGGGCTTCTCCATATGAGTGAAAAATTCTTGAGAGGGATGTTAAACAATATACAGTCAAGCAATCAAACAAATATTGTTTATTTTGACCCAAAAAGTAGGAAATATTACTTGGGAGGAGACAGGTTGACCTCTTCAAAAGGGCAAGGGTCAGAGGTGAATTCCTGATACTGCAGACACTTCCAGTAAGGCCGAAGGACCTTAATCACATTCAGAATGGACTCTGTGACACTAAAATTAAAAAATGATCTTTATTACACTAGAATTATAGAATATTTAATTAGCATGTTCTTGTAAAAGACGGATTCCATGAGAAATGAATTTTTAAACTTGTACTTATAATCAAGGACTCAGTGTGTCCTAGTCACATCCTACTTTATGTACCTTTACATATTTTAACAAATTGAGCATTAGCAGAAGAAGTGTTTGTTTGAATGCTGATATCTTATGGAAGTTAATATTGGACAATATTAACCTGTCACATGGTTCCTGAGATGGAGGAATTCTGGGACAAGGGTCACCAAGTAATGTTCTCAAGGTCAAGGCTGCTGATTCAGAGAGAGACTTCAAGCAGTATCCACCCTAAAAAAATTATACAAAATGAAAATGGTGGTCCAATTTCACATCAAATTTAATGTTGATTGCTTTCCTTTGCTTTGTTGAATTTTTTTTAGTTTATGTTCACAGTAAATATACAGAACAAAGATGCTGATTCATTCATACCTCCAATATGACTGCCACACGACCCTGAGCCAAGGACATGACCTTGTGAGTGAGGTGAGCAAAGGCTGCAGGAGTTACCCCCATTTCTCCCTATTAGAGAAATTCACTTTTCAAAACTATCATTGACAACATTACATGTATTTTGATAGTTCACTGTTGTACTCTTTTACTTTTAAATCTATTGAATCTACTAGTATGTCATAATGAAAATCACTTAAAACTTTATTGTATCATTATTTTAAAAAAACTAAATTTAAAATCCATAAAATTTAAAAGTTGTTTGTGAACTTCATAAGCATTTTAATGTACAAATCTATATTCATTACATCAACATGATCAACAAAGTTGTGCATGCTTTATTTTTTTATTTAAAAAAATCACATAAAATGGTAAGATTTATATAATGATTATATTTGTGTTAGAAAATATAAATATATGCTGTAGCTATTTATCACTCTTTTAAAAAAAATTATGATGCATTATTTTAAAATAGTAACTTTTGAACATGAAAGCATTTGATTTTATATTGTACAGTGCAGTGCAAAAGATTGTTTTCATTATACTCAGTACACAGATAATGAACATGTTTAAAAAAGATATTAAATCATTCATATTGATTTAGAATAAATGCATCAAAAGTTTACAAAGAAGAAGAACTCAAATACCAAACCCCGTGCCAAAGCATGTCCTAGCTAGATTAATATCCCTCACAAAAAATCACTACAGAATTACAGGAATAACAGCATACGTATTATTATTTTACATACATTATAAACTCTGAATCATTAGTTGATAACATTATCATTACCTAGTTTTTTTTTAAACCTTTACAATGATTTTTGTTTTTTTTCTTTATCCTACTTTATATATTTCAAATATATATTGGTAAAATTACGCCTATTCTGCCATTGGTCAATTTAGCATGCCTATGACCTTTGTCACTGACCTTGGGTCATTTACTCAAAATTTTTCTGACCTCCTGAAATCTCTACACATGTTTGAGAATAAAATGCTGAAAGGTTTTGGGATCAGATGCCTCTATGGCATTGTTCAAATCTAACACTGTCTTATGACTTTCTAATACTGGTTAAGTTTATTATTACCCCTATAGCTGACATTTAGGTACTTGTAAAGTTCGTTAAGTTAAGACTTAATCTGTGCAAGTTTATATGAATAGAAACAAGAGGCCCATGGGCCACATCGCTCACCTGAGAAGCTTTGAACATTCCGTTCTTTACCAGATTTCCCCCTTGTTATACATATTGTGACCCCACCCTACCCAACTGATCATAATTTAAACAATTTGGAATCTACACTACCATAGGATGCTTTGATTCAACATAGTAAAACTTTGATTCCCCATTGTAGCCGCACCCTACCCCCGGGGGTGACATGATTAGAACAATTTAGAATCTACACTATCCCAGGATGCTTCCACATATTTGTTTCTGCTTTTCTGGCCCAGTGGTTCTTGGAAGAAGATTTTTCCTATATTTTTTTTTTATGTAAAAGTTTGATTCCCCATTGTGGCCCCGCCCAACCCCTGGGGATCATGATTTGAACATTTTAGAATCTACACTACCCCGGGATGCTTTCACATAAGTTTCAGCTTTTCTGGCTCAGTGGTTCTTGAGAAGAAGATTTTCAAAGATTTTTCCTAATATATAGACTGCTATGTAAAACTTTGATCCCCCATTGTGGCCCCGCCCTACCCCCGGGGGTGACATGATTAGAACAATTTAGAATCTACACTACCCCAGGATGCTTCCACATAACTTTCAGCTTTTCTGGCTCAGTGGTTCTTGAGAAGAAGATTTTCAAAGATTTTCCTATATATTGCTATGTAAAACTTCGATTCCCCGTTATGGCCCTGCACAACCCCCGGGGGTCATGACTTTAACAATTTAGAATCTACACTACCCCTGGATGCTTCCACATAAGTTTCAGCTTTTCTGGCTCAGTGGTTCTTGAGAAGAAGATTTTTAAAGATTTTCCTATATATTTCTATGTAAAAGTTTGATTCCCCATTGTGGCCCCGCCCTATCCCCGGGGGTCATGATTTGAACAATTTAGAATCTGCACTACCTAAGGATGCTTCCACATAAGTTTCAGCTTTTCTGGCCCAGTGGTTCTTGAGTAGAAGATTTTTAAAGATTTTTCCTATAAATTTCTATGTAAAACTTTGATTCCCCATTGTGGTCTAGCCCTATCCCTGGGGGTCATGATTTTTACTATTTAGAATCTACACTACCCCAGGATGCTTCCACATAAGTTTCAGCTTTTCTGGCCCAGTGGTTCTTGAGAAGAAGATTTTTTAATGACCCCACCCTATTTTTGTCTTTTCTTGATTATCTCCCCCTGTGAAGGAACTTGGCCCTTCATTTTCACAATTTAAATTCCCCTTCATATAAGGATGCTTTGTACCAAGTTTGGTCAAAATTGGCCCAGTGGTTCTTGAGAAGAAGTCAAAAATGTGAAAAGTTTACAGACGGACGGACAGACAGCTAGACAGACGGACGGACGACGGACAAAATTTGATCAGAAAAGCTCACTTGAGCCTTTGGCTCATGTGAGCTAAAAAAATTACCCGTTATTAAGTACTGTACAGCTATATTATACCTTAGAATTAAATATAGGACCTGGTATTTTTTTTTTCTATGAGCTTACTTAGTTTTGTCCTTTAATTTATAGAAGTGAGTTTAACTGTTTTGTTTCTTAATTTAGAAATAAGAAGAACAAGACCTTGGGATCTCCAATGGCCGAGTCAAATCCAGCGGACACAACAACAAAATCAGGACTAAACTGTGTTAAAACAAAGGAAGCATATTAATAGATAATGAGCAAACTACTAAATCAAACTGTGCATAAAAACAGCATGCAACAGTAATAACTAAGAGCATGCCAAACCCTGTGGAATTCAATAGATTTGGGATTAAAATAGAAGTTAGAAAACTGCAGCAAATTTCTTGAAAAATTTATATTGAAAAGTTTTGTGAAAAATGTATATATATTTAAATATTAAAACTGATATACAGTCTCGTGTCATAAGTATTCGTAAAAAAACAACATAGGTAATCACAGATTACGAAGCTCACCTCGACGAATGATATCAGTTTAAGTAATGCAAATCTCACATCATATTTTCTTAATATTAAGTATTCATCCCAACAACAATATTCTTGCAAGTTGTGTTTAACCCCTTACATGGTATATACACATTTCTATGCATGTAGCGTGAAAAACATGTATTGTGTAAACAAATATTCATAACTGTTAATACTGCAGATATCGAGGACTTCAAGTTCATTCGGATTGATCTATTCCCAAAACTTCAACCTGGTCTCTTGTATGGAATATATAGGTCAGATCCAGCATCTGAAGCAAGTCTGATGGTGTCCTTCCTTAGATGCATTATCCATGCAAGTTTGGATGAGCTAGGGCTTAATAATTACTTGGGAATGAAAATGTAGGTCAGATCCAGCATCCGAAGCAAGTCTGGTAGTGTCCATCCCTAGATACATCATCCATGCAAGTTTAGTTTAGCTAGGGCTTAAAGTTACTTGGGAATAAAAATGTAGGTCAGATTCAGCATCTGAAGCAAGTCTGGTAGTGTCCATCCTTAGATATATCATCCATGCAAGTTAAGTTTTGCTTGGGCTTATACTTACTTGGGAATGAAAATGTAGGTCAGATCCAGCATCCGAAGCAAGTCTGATAGAGTCCATCCCTAGATACATCATCCATGCAAGTTTGGTCCAAATAGGGCTTAAAGTTACTTGGGAATGAAAATGTAGGTCAGATCCAGCATCTGAAGCTAGTCTGGTAGTGTACATCCCTAGATACATCATCCATGCAAGTTTGGTTCAGGTAGGGCTTATAATTCCTTGGGAATGAAAATGTAGGTCATATCCAGCATTTGAAGCAAGTCTGGTATTGTACATCACTAGATGCATCATCCATGCAAGTTTGGTCCGGGTAGGGCTTATAATTCCTTGGGAATGGACCTGCTCAAAAAACTTTATCTTGGTCACTCATCTAGAAAATATAGGTCAGATCCAGCATCCGAAGCAAGTCTGGTTGTGTACATCCTTAGATGCATCATCCAAGCCAATTTGGTCCCAATAGGGCTTATAGTTTCTTGGGAATGGATCTGCTCTAAAAACTTTAACCTGCTCCAAAAACTTTAACCTGGTCACTCATCTAGAAAATGTAGGTCAGATCCAGCATCCGAAGCAAATCTGGTAGTGTACATCCCTAGATGCATCATCCATGCAAGTTTGGTTTAGATAGGGCTTATAGTTACTTGGGAATGGACTTGCTCCTAAAACTTTAACCTGGGATGCCGACGCTAACGCCGACGCCGACACCGACGCCAACGCCGCGGGTATAGCATAAGCTCATCTCGACTTCGTCGAGGTGAGCTAAAAATGGCGGCGATGTAAACAAAACTAGATCACCTTAGTTTCATCAAATTTTTAACTTAATTAAATTTGCACCAACCTTAATATTTCATAAGACAGCCTTTTGACTTGATTACTGCTTTAATTCTTCTTGGAATCGACTGGTATAGCCTTTGAATGAATTGAAGCGGAATGTTTTCCCAGGCCTGTCGAACGGCGACTGCAAGGTCATCATTGGTCCTCAGTTTATGAACATTTATATTAACGACGTTCGATCCTGATATTTAAAGTCTTAAACTTTTTTTTGCAAAGTATATTTTTAGTTTCTACATACATAGCTTAATTAAAATTCAAATCAAAAAATGGGGGTCAATACGCTTCTATTGGCGCTACAGTACATTTAATATGACCTTTTTGCACTGAAATTTGTGTCTTAATCAAAAATTAAATTTTTGACGTTTTCCCTCCAATAATTTTATCCAATTAATGCATGAAACAAAATGAGCTCTTAGTTTGTTTAAAAAAAGACACTTTAAAATTGTGACTAAGAAAAAATGTCAAATTGCTTCGCATTGTCAATTATTTGACCTTTCTGCACTACTAAAATGTGATTTTTCCGGCACTGAAAATTTAATAAGCAAGAAAATTATTTTAAAGTCTTAAACTTTTTCTGATTTTAAGGAAATAGGTCAAAGGTATCTTTAATATTTAGAAAAGAACATCAAAAGTGGGGGTATATGATGTAAATTTTCAGATATTACTAGAAAAAGTGTCAATTTTGCGTTAAAATTGACTAAATTTTTTCCCCGGTTTTCAGAATATATTTACTATATTTGTCACACTTTGTTGAAAGAATTCATAAGAAATAATTTAATAGATATTTCAGAACCAGCATAACACATTTCACTGCAAAACAGCTTTGTGTGCACCAGCATGGAACAATAGGAATCCAAAATTAAAAGTACTGCTATAGTTCAAAAGGGGAAAAACTGATCATGTTCGTCCAAAAAACCTTCCGCCACAAAATATAGTCCCTAGCTTAATTCTACCTAAATGAAATTTAAGCACGGTTTTTTCATTGAATATAGTTCAGTTTGCATTGTAGAATTCAGATTTAATGTTAGAACTTAAAAATGATGCAGAATTTTATGAATAATGGACATGACCAAAATCCACTCAAAAACTCAGGATCCAACGTCCTTAAGTTCGTGTTTCATTTTTTTCCAGCAATTTTCGATAATATTTAGGTCAGGACTTTGGGCTGGCCATTCAAGTGTTGTTATTCCCTCTCTAGCTACAAAATCTTTCACTACTCTTGCTCTATGCACAGGCGCATTGTTGTCTTGAAATATATATCGATTGTTAGGGAAATGCCTGGCTACAACAGGCCATAAATTGTTATCGATGATTTCAATATATTTTTCGGCATTAATATTACCGTCAACAACACATAAAGTACCTACACCGTAAGCTGTTATACATCCCCACACCATCAAATCAAGGCGCCGTCCAGGAGGGGGTGCAACACAAGGGGGGTCCCATTCTTCGCCGTCCTTCCGCCACACATACACGCGTTGTTCTCCATCAATCATCACCTTACATTCATCACTGAATATTATATCATTCCAAAACCCATCGACAGTTTCGTGTCTGTATTGTTTACACCAATTAACTCGCTTTTTCTTGTTGACTTCACGAATCCGAAGTTTTTTCTTTACAAGCCTCCTCCGGTATCCCCCTTTTCTCAAAATTCTTTTCACGGTACTTTCTGACAGTCTACTAGCCCCATTTTCATTGGTAACATTCGTTAATTCTGTCAAAGTCCTTCGACGATTATTTTTCGCAAGTCGAATAAGTTGCCTTTCCCCTTGGACACTACACTTACGTGGTCTGCCACTTCGATCCCTGTTTTCTGTATTTCCACGTCTTTGTTGTCGCTTTAAAAAACTGCATATTGTAGATATAGGTCTTCCTGTTATCTCTGATATCTCCTTTAACTTTATATTAGCTTTGGACAAAGATAGAATACTTTCTTTCTCGGACGCACACAGTTCAAATCCTTTCCTACCCATTTGTTTTGAAAGCGGAAACAAAACATTTGCAGACGACAAAATACGTCATAACAAAGCCACGTGATCTGTCATGTGCTTGTGTATATTTGTACGTAGTAAGAGGGATAACTCTAATTTGTGCGTCAAGAACGACGCTGAAATGGGAAGCGAACCGCAGCAGTGAAAAAGTAGGCCGCCATTTTTTACGAATACTTTTGACCCGAGACTGTACATGTATACATGGTGTATAAAAACAACAGTATTTTTTTTTTTTTACTATTTTTAACCTTTAACAACCCCTCCCTCCCAAAATCATTCTTTAAATTATACTGACTCTGTTGATATACATGTATATATTTTCAATGCCAGTGCCAAGAAATTTTCTGCAGTTATTTGTCTAACATAACATAAAGCCTCCATGACTAATACATGTAAGAAGTAACAACTCCTTTAGTTTACCTCGGGACAACCTATTGCGCAATCATATCCAGCAGAAATCAAAACTAATTCTGGATCAAACTGAAATTACCAGCACATTAACTGAATTATCAACAAATGTGTAAATAATAAATTATCTGAAATATATTGTATTAATAATTTTTGGATTGTTACAATATCACACTGTTCAATCTTTTAATTCTAGACAGGAGATATAAAATAAATGAGTTTAAAAAAAAATTCAAAATTAAAAGCAACAAAATTTAGAGATGCATTTTGACATTATATACGTGTATATACGAGAGTTGATCCAAAAGTTCGTGGAATTTCTTAATATTTCATTCATTTATAAGTGAAATTGGTTGAAAATTACAAATGAGAATAAAGACACTTGTTGAATATTTTAGATTAAAAAATATTTTAAATATTTGTGATAGTAACTCTATGGCAGTTGCCATAGAAACGGATGTTTGGAAATGCGGGGGAGACATCAACGCGTTTATTATCATTTTAATTCTTAATACTTGAAATGAGAATTAAACCGATCTTCGTGTTATAGAAAACGAAAATTATGTCATTATTATGATTGCTTGATCTTTTATAAACCTTTGTGTGTGTATTTTACTGATTTTACTGGATATTTTGTTTATTAGTTAATAATTTATTATTCATCTTAAGGTTGTTAGACGATGTCAAATTTCGGTCAAGTCATAAGTTTTGTGAAAATCCCGGGATCACTCTATCTTAAATGCGTATATTATTGACATAGACTGAGGAAAAATGCATTTAGCCACTGGTTTTCCGGTGGCGTAAGAAAATGAAGAAAAATAGAACCTTCATGGACGTTGATTAAAGGTGTGGCCGCCTTTCTGAGGCTCTGTTTTAAGTGTCGTCCCCCTTGATAAATTGAAAGCGTTATTATACGTTGTCGACTGACGTACTGTTCTTGACATTGCTACTGAAATCGGAACATCATATGGAAAGATGGGGGGTATTTTGAAATATGAGTAAAAAAGGAAGATAAATTGGTCATACCCAGGCTTTTCTTGAGAAAAAAAATGGAGAAAAGGGCAGCATTTTGAAGAATTACGTGACATTAGGGTGAGATGATTCTATAACGTGACGTGACATACCTAATTTGACGTTACGTCGAAGTCTCCCCCAGGTTTCACAACCATTCATTTTCAGAAAGCTCTTGTGACCTTATTGGTAATTGGAAAGTGGTGAAATTTTCCAGTATTAATTGTTGCATTATGACTCTATTTTATAAATATGCCTATTGTTTGCTTTTTTAAATCATGATAACATTTTTGAAAGAAATTCCACAAACTTTTGGATCAACCCTCGTATGTATACTTAAATCTATAGGTAAGCAAAGATAACTTCAAAGCTCTCCTAAGAGAACACTGGAATTCAAAACATATGTTAAGCATCCCTAGTAGTATAAATTCATAGGTCCAGTATAGAAGAAGCCCAAATCTCAGAACTCTGACCTGAGACATCGGCAATTGGGGGTAAAACAGAAGCTTCCCCATAACTTTGTCTAGGTGACAATGTATTTAACGTTAAAAAAACATGTAGATACTAAGTCTTACCTCAAATGCAATTGGCATTAAAACCTGATGAAATATAGCCAGGTAGTCATGATCAGCCATCCCCGTCTACACAAATATAACACTTAATTACATTTTCAGCATTGAAATACTGAACTTAATTTATTCAATAAAAGAGATAAATTGTCACAGTGTGAAAGAACTTCAGAAGTGCAGCTTCTGTCGGGGACTGAGAAAATACATGTGTAACTGTGAGATATTTAAGGATTTAAGAAGTAAAGGGTAAAATTTTTACAGAATACCGTAAATCTGGAAATTTTTACATCAATTTTATTTTGCGAATCTGGGTCAAAATGCTGTTGATTAATTTTTACGTTTCAAAATTTTACGAATGACCACTTCTTTGTTAATATTTTCTTATTGTTGAAATATTTTTAAGAAAAATATTTTTGTGAATGTAATGAACTCACAAATTTGCTAAAAATTTATCTACAGCAAAAATTTCCAGATTTACGGTAAGCGATTGGGACTTCCAAATCACTTCAACATATCCATAGTGTTAAGATATCAGTGTTCAGGATATCAAAGTTCAACTGTACATTATCTCTATGCTTCTTAATTTATTCTTTCCATGGGACCCTGGTGTTATGATAATTTACCTGATTAAGAGGGACATTGATGTTATACCCCATCCCTTTGTCTTCTCCTATAAAGTCATAGTCACTCTCTCTCAGGTGGGGCCAAAACTTCCCAAACTCGTACCGATGTATAGAAAAGTACAGCACTCTGTAAATTAACACATAGATGGAAAGCGACTTACAGGATCAATGTTAATGTTTATAGCGAGCGCAGCGAGCTCAATAGACTAACGTGTAAGAACAGAGGAAATTCGGATTGAAATCTGTACATATGTCAGCCAAATTTCTCTGTGCAACATTCCCAGAATTCCTGCAGTACCCAATGTCCTTTGCGCAAATAAGTAAATAAATAAATAATAACGTAAAGCATAAAGGCTAGATCAGTTTGTAGAAATCTTTCAAAGAAACAAAAAATAACTCTACAACCCTTATCAAAATGAAATCCATTTAGATACCATTTAAAAGCCATTTCTTTTCTGACCATTTAAAGACCATTCAGAAACCATTTTATTTCGTCAAATCTTTCAAGAATTCTCAACAGAAAGGATGATCATTTAAAAACCATTTTTCATTTTATCTCCATTCAAACTCCATTCAAACTCCATTCAAACACCATTTTTTTTGGGCCCTGTAACATGCAAATTAACCATTCCAAAACCATTTATGCAAATGAGATGAAAAATGAAAAATAAATGGTTTTTGTTTTAACCATTTAATATCCATTTTAAAACATTTTCTCCATAATTGAAAAATGAAAAATTTAGGTGGGTCCTTTAGGTGGTTGATACATGTATCCATATGCAAGGAATATTAAGCACTTTAAAAATCCATCTTCTTAGTTGCAGAGTCAGTCACAAAATGGAGGTCACTTGTTCAATCTTTTTCACATACTGGTTTTTGAATTCATTGAAATCTTTATGAATTAAAATCCCAATTTGATCTGAATTGTGGTAGTCTTGCTCCATCTTCAAAAATTTATATCTTCCCGTGCTCATTTTTGTGCTCCATCATGTCCATATGACAATGTAGGCAAGCAGTATTCTAAAAATAAAAGGAAATGCAAGAAAATATTTACAAAAATTTATTATAATTGATGTTAATCAATAAGAATTTACAAAAGTGTCCATCAGTCTGACAAATTTTCATTAATAAGATTGGTTTATAGATTATTGCATCAGTATGATTAATGGGCACTCGATCCTTTTGCGTTTTCTTTGGGAAACAACATTTTTCTGTTACTGAAATTAATAAAAATTATGTACATATTTATACTTACCACTCAAAAAGAATAGGGTCCTTTCAGTGTATGGAAAACGAATGTGTTGCATTTCTTCTGCTGTAACGTATGTTTCAGTTTAAACTTCCCAATTGGGCAAATGTTTGCAATGAAACATGAAAACATTCACAAATAATCATCTTCCAAGAATTAAGTTATCCATTTCTGCTTTGACCATCAATATACAGTTTTGTCAGCTTCAAAAAACACTAAAAACCTAAATATTCCTTGAAGAATAGTCCATCCATCTAAACTCACTTCCAGCTAGGTCAAAGTGCTCTTGTCCAATATTCAAACTTAAACTGGAAAAGGCGGTCGCTACAGAGCTTGGGAAGAAATCTGATATCCAGTGCCCCATTATAAAAACCTGGCACATGGCATCAATTAACCACTGATAAATCTATCTTAATATTAAAGGTTAAGACTAACCATTTTTTCCTTGTCTCCATTTCTCGGAAAAGAAATGGGAGAAAAATGGCCCCATCAAGCAAGGTGGATCACCAAACTGGCATTTCTTTTCCATTTACTCAAATAAATGGAGAGAAAATGTTGGAACTTTACCATTTAAAATACATTTTCTAACAGAAATGGTTCTTAAATGGTTCTGAGAAAATGGTTTATGAAAATTGAAAGATAGAGAAATGTAGGAAAAATGGTTTTGAAATGAAAAATGGCTAAAAAATGCTGAATGAATGGAGATAAAATGGAAAAATGCCATTTCTTTTTGCTATGGGAAAGTTTTTCAACCAAAATTGCACTAGGTCTATAGTTTCAAACAGACGCTCGGCTGTCTCCGTAAGCTCCGACGAGCTCCGTGACGTCGTGTGACGTCACAGCTAGTCGAGATGTCTCGTGCGGCTTGATGTTTGAAGTGGCTGATCAATTTTTAGAGTGTTTTTCATGGTACAACTGCGCTCGCCCCAACGGTCACACCGTAAAACATATTAGAAAACTATATCTGGTATGTCTCTGAATGCATATATTTATTTTTAAAAATGTGAAATATATGTAAAGCTAGGACATTAGTTTCTGAATCATTATTTTTTTAAAAGATTTTTCTAGGTGTAGTAGCCTTGTTTTTTTTTTTTGTTTTGAGTTTATTCAACTTGTATTCTTAATAATTGCAATATTGCATGATTCAAAATTAGCACATCTCAGTTTAAATTCAATACAGAATTTATCCAACTCCATCTGTAATGTTCAGATACATACAGTCAATTCTCGAATTATCGCCATTCGATTCATCGCCATTTTCGCAATACCGCCATGATTTCCCAAGAACGTTTTTCCTGCTATATAAAATTCTCTTTATAACGCCAAATTCGCATACCGCCATCCGCCACCCTGTTTTCACAACAAACGTCCATTTTTAAGTGTCAATTATCTCGATATACCGCCAGAGGTGCATGTGGTCAGTGAAGCGTGGCTAATTGGTTGACGCTATCCCTGTTGTTAAGCAAGCGAAGCCAGACCAGGTACATGCAATTAAATAATTAATTAAGAATTAAATAAACAATAATTTTAACATGAACTTTTATATAAAAAAATTGTTTTCTATTAAATAAAAATCATTTAGTCACGACTTTGCCTTGAAAGCTGTCGTTGTTAAAGCACGCCGATAACGATATTATTTTAATGATCTCTGCTTTAAACAAAACAAAAATTTGCTTTAAAAATTAATATACGGTATAAATTCTGGACGTTTCATTAACAATGATGCCATTAACAATGAATTTATTCAAGAATTCATTTTACGTACTATCGGCAATATCTTACGACGATCGACCCAGCATGTTTTTTTTTTCAATATCACACTGCAGATTTACATGCATACACATATACTATACAATTATGGACTGTTTAGAAGGGAGACATCACCAATTATCAGGTCTGAGTAGGGTTGTCACCCGAGGGCGCTTGCGCCCGAGGGTGACAACCCTACTCAGACCTGATAATTGGTGATGTCTCCCTTCTAAACAGTCCATAATAGTTTTATTATCCTGAAGAATAAATAATTATCAATTACGTAGAGTAGAAAATAGTAATCAAACCTCTTGTTTTCTTCTACTCTGCTCCGATTCCATACTTTTAAAATATGTCAACAGACAACTTTGATGTCATCGTTAGAATTTATTGTTTACCGATCCCGCATATCTATTAATTGTACTTATAAATAAGAGTTATCTCGCTTAAATCACTTTAGTTTCATTCAAAGGGCGACAACACTGTTGTAACCCTGCATGCTCGCTTACGCTATTTCATTGTCATCTGAAGGGAGATAACAGTTGTCGACCTGCGGGTGAGGGAGACTTCACGAGTTGTCTCCCTGCACGTGACCTGCTCTAAACCAATCAGATTGACTGTATAATTCTGAAGGATAATAATTGTCTTTATTTAATAACTGCACATTTTGTTTTTAACTAAACTGTACATAAAAAATTACTTGAAGTATTCTCAAATTAAGGAGTATGTATAATTTTATATCCATGTACATGTAATAATACGAATAGAAACGCGAGTGGTATTGTTTAGAACGGTAACTCTACTTCTTGTTTCCTAAATGATGGAAAATTCAATTCATCGCCAAATTCGTTATACCGCCATGATTTCTGAATTACAAAAGGTGGCGGTTTATCGAGAATTGACTGTATTTATCAATCTATAAATTGTACTGCTCATTAGTCAGAATAGTGAATGTGAAATCTCTCCTTACCGCGGATCATTGTAAAACATCTGCTGGGTGCCCTGGCCATGATGAACATCCCAGTCTATGATTAAAATCCTTGAAAAAAATAATTAAACAAAACTGAAATTCAGTTAGAGGTGGAAAAAATTAAATGATCCTCCCATCCACGAGCCCCCAATCATCCCACACCACCCCACCTCTAATTAGGAGTTATAGCATAAATTTAAGAAGTGCACGTTCCTACATTCTATATAATAGTGCATATAGTATACAATATATAATAGGAATTAGGACGATTATTTTACATTATAATATTGCCATTAGTTTTATTGATACACTGTATATTGATTCATCCTGAGAAAACACTTTTCATTCATTGCTCAATGCTCATTAAAATCTTTTCTGAAAATACACTGGCCTTCATAAATGTTCAAGGTGTATTGTGTACCACTTACTTTTTCAGTTTGAGATTTTCCAGGGCATGTTTTGCAGCAATAGCAACATTATTGAAGTAACAGAATCCACAAAATTCCTCCGACATTGCGTGGTGTCCTGGGGGTCTAAAAAATAGTGATTTGGAGGGTATATCAGGTAGATATACAAGCCTGGGGGTATTAATCAAATTTCCTTCTTTTTTTATCAATAATTCCAACATTTTCCAACAAGAGGCCCATGGGCCTTATAGGTCACCTGAGCATTATGCAACAACTTTCCAGTGATTTAATTTGATTCATGTTTTAAGCCAGATGCTATGGCTTTCACAATTTTGAAAGAGGCACCATTGATCATCATAACAATACACTTAGCAGTTGCTTAGTTTGTTTACTTAGTACCCATAGGCAGGTTGGGGGAACAAAAAATGCATTTCAAATAATCAGTAATATTCAGCAATAATCAGTAATGCCCCTATCACACATGAACCCCTGACCCTTAGGCCTAGATCCACACATTGCACAATTTTTGAAAAGGCACCCTTGCTTTTCAAAAATATTTGATTAATACCAAGGAGCAGATCTCAAACAATTCATCCAGTTTCAGTATATAAGTACACCCCCCCTTTGGTACCCCTGACCCTGGGGCCTTGAAATTCACAATTCTGGAAGATTAAGGTCCTTGCTCATCATAACTACATAGGTAGTTCATCTGCTTAATACCCAAGAGCAGAGAAGAAAATTTTCAAAGATTTAATGTATTTTCACTATATAATCAATAGAGCCCCGCCCTATCACTAGAACCCCTGACTCTAGGGCCACAAAATCAAAATTTTGGAAGAGGTATTTTTGCTCATCATAACTATGTACTTAGTTTATTTAATTCCTAGGAGCAGAAAAGAAATTTTTTCAAAGAATTCATGTATTTTCATTATATAATCAATAGAGCCCCGCCCTAACACCCGAACCCTGACCCTGGGGCCAAAAAATTCACAATTTTGGTAGAGGCACTTTTGCACATCACAACTATGCACTTAGTTAGTTTATTTAATACCAAGGAGCAGAGAAGAAGATTTTCAAAGAAATAATGCATTTTCATTATGTACTTATTTAGCCCCGCCCTAGCAATAGAACCCCTGATCCCAGGGCCATGAATTTCACAATTTTGGTAGAGGACTCAATGCTGATTACAATCATGCAAACAGTTTGACTGCTTGATGTCCAGGAGTAAAGAAGATTTTTAAAGATTGCATTAATTTTAGTGGTTTTTGCCCCACCCCCCAGGCCCCAGGGGGGCAGGGACCATGAAATTCACAATTTTTCATGTATTTTCACTATATAATCAATAGAGCCCCGTCCTTACACCAGAACCCCTGACCCTGGGGCCAAAAAATTCACAATTTTGGTAGAGGCACTCTTGCTCATCATAACTATGCACTTAGCTAGTTTATTTAATACCCAGGAGTAGAGAAGAAGATTTTCAAAGAATTCATGTAATTTCACTATATAATCTATAGAGCCCCACCCTAGCACCAGAACCCCTGACCCTGGGGCCATAAAATTCATAATTTTGGTAGAGATACTCTTGCTCATCATAACTATGCACTTAGTTAGTTTATTTAATACCCAGGAGCAAGGAGAAGATTTTCATAAAATTCATGTATTTTCACTATATAATCAATAGAGCCCCACCCTAACACCAGAACCCCGACCCTAGGGCCATAAAATTCACAATTTTGGTAGAGCTCTTGCTCATCATAACTATGCACTTAGTTAGTTTATTTAATACCCAGGAGCAGAGAAGAAGATTTTCAAAGAATTCATGAATTTTCACTATATAATCTATAGAGCCCCGCCCTAACACCAGAACCCCTGACCCTGGGGCCATAAACTTCACAATTTTGGTAGAGGCACTCTTGCTCATCATAACTATGCACTTAGTTAGTTTATTTAATACCCAGGAGCAGAGAAGAAGATTTTCAAAGAAATAATGCATTTTCACTATGTACTTATTTAGCCCCATCCTAGCAATAGAACCCCTGACCCCAGGGCCATGAATTTCACAACTTTGGTAGAGGACTCAATGCTGATTACAATCATGCAAACAGTTTGACTGCTTGATGTCCAGGAGTAAAGAAGATTTTTAAAGATTGCATTAATTTTAGTGGCCCCAGGGGGGCAGGGACCATGAAATTCACAATTTGTGTTCCCCTTCACCCATAGATGCTTTGTGCCAAATTTGGTTGAAATTGGTTCAGTGGTTGCAGAGAAGAAGCTGAAAATGTTCAAATGTTAACGGACAACGCACGACGCACAACGACGGACAAAAACAGATAGCAATAGGTCACCTGAGTTTACTCAGGTGACCTAAAAATTACTACAGATGCAATGTATAGATTGTATAATTGTTAACTTCAATCCATTTCTGAAATTATGACCTACATGAACATTCAGATTTTTATTTTTATTAAAATTCAGTTTTAAATTTCATCTTCATAATTGCAGTAATTGAAATATAAAAGTCAAAAATATACATACCTTATTAAAGCCATTCCATTTCTCACCTTAAATTCACAAAAAAAAAATCATTAGTTCAGAAAAGTCAAACTCAAATCTACAGGTGACTCTCGATGGCTCGAACTCCGATCTCTCGAAGTTCTCTATCTCTCGAAGTGAACCTCCGGTCCCGTTTTTTTCCTCTATATAACTAAGCAAATTTACTCCTGATCTCTCGAACTTCCATCTCTTGAAGTTCTCTATCTCTCGAACCAAAACCTGGGTCCCGTTATACATATTTCATTGAATTTTACTCTCTATCTCTCGAAGTTTTGATTGCGCGTGTATACACGCCAATCAAGCGTAAAATTGATGCAGTCTGGATTTACCTGGAAACCGTGAAGGCCTTGGGCTGGCATGGAGGTGTTAATTGGGTGTTTACATAGATGACACTACACCTGTGGGTCGTCCTTGTGTTGTTATGATTAATTGGCTATCATTCACAGGGTAAATTAGAAAAAAATTCACAGCTTATTTTGAATTGAAACCGAGACGATAATTTTTTGAAATTAATTTAAAGATGTTCCTTCCAGTAAGTTCCCATAGACTATGAACTCTCATTATGATTATATAGAGTCTACATAATCCCAGTATGGGAAATATGACACAAATTCTTTTCTCAAGGACATAATACCGATTAAGAAAAACTCTGGTGAACATTGTCTTGTGAAGGACCCGATCAAGCCATGGAATAGCCAAACCTACAATTGCTACTCGGGTTTCATGTAATCATGAAATAGGAACAAATTATGAATAAATATTGAATCTTTAGGAATTCGTTTTATTTATTCGAAATACAATCATTGTTGTTGATATCAAGTAAATTACCTGTAAAATACGATTGAAAACGTGCAATGACATTATCTACATATACTTCCGGTATTTGTAAAAGAAGAATTTCGACGATCGGAACTGAAAATTCCGGATTTTAATTACTTTCCATCTCTCGAACCCCTCGATCTCTCGAACTTTTCTCGCGGTCCCTTGAACTTCGAGAGATCGAGAGTCACCTGTATTTTTATGGAACCTCAAAAAGTCATATTGCAGAGATAACTGTTCAAGAAAAAAATTGCATTTAAGTAATTTATAAAGGAATATGTTTGTATTTGTATATTTTCAAGATTGATATACATGTATCTGCATCTAATCGTGCAAATCCACACTGTGTACCTTTTTTTAAAGGGCTGATAATTTCCTTTACATTATCATTTTCTTTTAGCTCTGAATTTCTGTATCTTTTTATCTTAAGGTTCAGTAATCAGTATATAAAGTAGCAATGTAAATAAGTTTAGCATTCCTCTTCCAAACACCGACCTTCTTCTTTAGAATCTGTTCCATTAATTCTACTGCACTCCCAAGTGACAACAAGGAACACTCATACGTAGCCTACAATAGAGAAGAAAGGAATTTATACAGTCAAACATGCTAAAAACGAACATGCAGCATTGCTTATGAATTGACACTTATAGTGAAGTGATTTTCATTCCATGTCTCTTTAAAACATATTGTGAACTTAACGGATATAACATATACATTTATAACAAAGCAAAATCATCTGTCCCTTGCACTTCATTACAAGCTGTGCTAAAAAATTATCATTTTCAGCAACTTTTAAAACAGAAGAAGATTTTATAGTGTTGGCAATTTCTATGGCCTTAAGTGATCTACACATATTCCATCATCTTATCCATCAAGAGAGGATCTCATAGATGCCTGTAAAATAATTTGATTTAATCATGGTACTGCTGTTCTTAAGATTTTTTTTTAATTTCATACATATTTCATTAAAACTACATGTATTTGAATGTATTCTTTAAAGCTAATGTTTCTTTCATTTAAACAAACTTGAACCCTTATGGAGTTGCTTAATTAAAGTTTGCCCAGTGCTTTAGGAAAAGAAGTGGAACATGAAAAGTAAAATTAAGATAGTTGATGGAAACACTTTGAAAAGTCATTTAAACCTTTGCCTCAATTGAGGGAACAACCCCCCCCCCCCTTCCTTCCAAACATATTTGACCTCAAGTCTTTATTTGATATCATTAAATTCATACCTGGTTGAAGTAAACAGAGTCGTATTTGATGGCCTCGGCTTTAAGTTCCTCGGTGCTCATTTCCGTGGTCCGTTTGAGTTTCTCTATCAGTTCCTGTGAATGTTGTAACAATACCATGTCCTCTGTAGAATGCTGGGCCTGAAATTAAAAATACATCAATCTCAAATTTCCTATCATTTGCCTTACTTAGTCATGTTAGTAGCCATAAATTACTTCTAATCATTACGGACAAGAAAGGACAAAGGCCGAATCTAGCCCCTTATTTGATGGAAAAATTAAACACTAGTAAAATTGTGAAAGTTTGTAGTTTTAAAAACTTTAAATGATGTTTGCTTTAATACCAGCACTAATTTCAATTCAAAGTTTTCACAGAGGCCACAAGAAGGTACAAAAGTAGGACAAGTTCTTATTTCCTCAGTTCAGGAGGAATTTCATCTCTCATATTTGAGATATGTTTCTCTTACGGAAATATGGAGCACAAGCTTGCATCTCTGAGATTTTTAAACATAAAATGCATCTGATGTTAGTTGAAAAAATATATGAATTTGTTTGCTAGGCAAGCTTGTGTTCTATGATTTATAAAACAAAATGTGCTGTAAAATTGATGAAAGTTTGCAAAGAAAATTCGGAAATCAACCTATTTTCTGACCTCTCTGTGACCTCTGTGTATTCCAAAGCTTAAAAAAAAAAATCATTTTGTGGAATGGGTGACAACAGGTTTTTATTTTTAAACTGCTGCATCATTCTATACCACACCAAAATACAGGGGCCAAAGAGTGGTCTTATCCCATCTTGTCCTTTTTGCTTGACCTCCTTGTGGTAATGAATTTAACATCCTTTAAATAGTTACTTAGATGAAAATTTCAATGCTATTAAAAACAAAATACATGATACATAAGAAAAAATTGAAGACTGAGATCAAACAGGAATGTTGATTTTTCTTTAGAATAATTCTACATTATGTTTTACTCATTAATGATTGCTAACCTCTAGCCGAATACATCTCTCTGTAAGACCAAGCTCAGAACATCGCTGGAAAGGCCCACTGATGCGTGAAGGATTCTCGGGGTAATCCTTGTCCCAGAGATTCTCGTGCTTTAACATCCGCTCATCATAAATCAGCCCCGTTCTGAAGAATTCAAAACACAGCTGTTAGGGGAGGCAAATCATACAAAACTTAATCAAAATTGCAATGTGTCCTTACAAGGATCTAAGATGCATATGAGGATTTTTTTTATTATAAAGAACTCTCCATATAAAATTCATGTGTTAAACATTGTTAAAAGGAACTAAAAATCAATGTTCTAAGGGTTTTCTCATAAGCTAGTCTTACTGTATATGTCAAATTTGATATTTTTTTCAAAGGACAGTAAATGATCTTTCATCCAGTTTTTTTTAAAATCCTGATTCAAATTTTGTTTAAATTAAGTTTAAAAACTAGCTTACCCCTCAATAAGGTCTGGTTCCTTAACTGTTAGAGCCTGCATGTATAAAACAGGTAAGACAAATTTTCAAGAGAGAGAAAACAACATATAAAATTACAAGAGGCCCAAGGGCCTTGAATCGCTCTTCTGATAAATTGTACAGTCTATCACTTCTATTAGAACCTCCAACTCTATTAGAATCATAAGACCCAAAATGCATCAACTTACAAAGTTTGATAATATTTAGCCAGTTAAGACTGAAGATATTATAATATAATTATAAAATACCATAAGTATGTTACAGTGACCTACCTTTTGATTGAAATTTTCTAAGGACTCAAGATACATTAATTGACAAAGACTGATGATTCTAATTAAATAAGTACCTGAGATATTCAAAAGTAGGTCACCATGACCTACTTTTTGGTCAACATTCTCTGAAAACCGAAAATGCATCATCTGACAAAGTTTGACGATTCTAAGCCAATTAGTACCAGAGATAATTGAATATAACCATCAAATGTCAAAAGTAGGTCACGGTGACCTACTTTTTGGTCGACTTTATTCAAAAACCCATAATGCCTAAATTTACTAAATTTGATGATTCTAAGCCAATAAGTACCTGAGTTAATCAAAATTAGGTCACCGTGACCTACTTCTTGTTGGACATTCAATGAAACCCTAAGATGCCTCAACTGACAAAGTTTTATAATTCCGAGCCAATAAGTACCAGATATAATTAAATATAGCCATAAAATGTCAAAAGTAGGTCACAGTGACCTACTTTTTGGTCGACGTTCTCCGAAAACCCAAGGTCCCTAAATTGACAAAGTTTGATGATTCTAAGCTTATACGTACCTGAAATATTCGAAAGTAGGTCACTGTGACCTATTTTTTGGTCGACATTCTCCGAAAACCCAAGATGCCTCAACTGACAAAGTTTGATGATTCTTAGCCAATAAGTGCCTGAGATACTTAAATATAGCCATAAAATATCCAAAGTAGGTCACCATGACCTACTTTTTGGTCGTCACTCTCCGAAAACCCCAAGATGCATCAACTCACAAAGTTTGATGATTCTAAGCCAATAAGTACCGGAGATACTTAAATAAAGCCATAAAATGTCAAAAGTAGGTCATCGTGACCTACTTTTAGGTCGTCACTCTCCGAAAACTAAATATGCATGGACTCACAAAGTTTGATGATTCTAAGCCAATAAATACTAAGATACTTAAATATAGCCATAAAATGTTGAAAGTAGGTCATCGTGACCTACATTTTGGTCGACATTTTTCAAAGACCCAAGATGCATCTACTGACCAAGTTTGATGATCGTAGGTCTGAAGGTAATCAAAATATGCGTTTTAAACAAATGAATTTGAAAACAAATGTCGGCAAAATTCAAAAAGTAGGTCACAGTGACCTACTTTTTCATAAATATGTTCTAAGGTCCCAAGATGCATCAAAGTACAAGATTTGATTTAAGTTGACATTGTTTGAGGACCCAAGATGCATCAACTGACAAAGTTTGATGATCATAGGCCTTAAAGTGTCCAAAATATGCCTTCAAATCAATTTGAAAACAAATCCCCGCAAAATTTAAAAAGTAGGTCACCGTGACCTACTTTTGAGTTAACATGATGTGAAGTCGTAAGATGCATCAAATTACATGTACAAGAATTGATGATCCTAGTCCTTATAGTAAGCAAAATATACACGTTTTTATTAATTGTAAATTTAGGTCAACTTTGAAGTGACCTTGAGACCACGCCCTTTGCCCCAGGGTAATTCCCCGTGCAAATTTTAATCTTCCACATATCCTGATCCTTGTATGTAAGTTTGGTGAAAATCTGCCTGGTGGTTATGGAGAAGAAGATTTTTTAGCAACCAGTACTTTTGGTTTTGTTTTCCTGATTATCTCCCCTTGTTTAAGGGTCCCAACCCTTATTTTAGTATAACTGGTAGCCCTTGGGCCAAGGATACCCTGTGACAAATTTGGTACTGATTGGCCAAGGGGTTCTTGAGTTATGGCCTATATTCTAAAAAGTTTACGCACAACGCACACCACACAAATGGCCATAGCATTAGCTCTTTGAGCCTTTGGCTCAGAAGAGCTAAAAATGACCATTATCTCATATTAAACTAAAGATGATTATGGTATTTGTTTTTAATTACTTTGTAACAATATGTTGATAGATTTCTTCCAATTTATGAACAATGTTAGACTATAGAACTATATATACAATGTATAATAAAACTTGTTTAGTACGAACAGGGATATTGTGAATTCACAGATACAGCAAATTTATCTTGGATCCCCAGATATATAAATTTTGCTAATTCCTCACACTGATTTTATAAATTACGAAGTAATTTCATAGGTCCAAGTGACTTCATTATAACCCAGTTCTACTGTAGCAATGTTGCACTGACTCTGGGGGAAGGTGACTTTGTTGTCTGGGCATTTAACACACCATTGTACAATTAAACCCCTTGATCCAATATGACCTCCTTGTCATTTTTACAATTCATTTAGCAGCTTAAAGTGTGCATCACCTTAAACCTTGAACTCTATAAGAATAAATTAAATATGACTAATTACACCCCTTTCCCTTCCTGCATCCCAACCCCATGCACTCCAGAGAGAGAGAGGAGAGAGAGAGAGAGAGAGAGAGAAAGAGAATCCCCATAAGTGAATTCGTAAGTATAATGATATGGAGTAAGTAAACACGTATGACTTAACAGATTGACAATGCTTTTAAATTCACAGAACCATTCAAGGCTGGTCAAGTCTAGAGAGCAGACAAACAATCAACAGCTGAAGGGCAAACATTCAATCAAAAGAACCTTAGCTAAAGGGTAAATCAAGTCACTTCAAGGCTTAAAACATAACTTACGATTTCTGCCAGTTTGCCGACCAGATACTCCGACTCTGAATCCGAGTCAGACTGTTGTCGTCTTCTCTCCTCTCTCCTTCGCTGTCGTTCCGCCCGCCCACTCTGTTTGATTTCCTCCAAGGTCATTTTCTTGTCCTTGACTTCTTGGCTATGCTGATATATATTGGGAGAATAATTAATCACTATAGTCAAGTTCCTCCCCCCCAAAAAAATTTGAGAAAACTAAGAATTATATACATGTACATAAATGCCAGGTTTAAAATGAAATTGCTTCTGCAAATTGCATGTTTAGCATGTTAAGACTTACACAGTAATTATCAAACATTTACTACTTTTTCTGAACTTGTCAAAATACAAAATTTCTAAGTAAACAATCAAACAGAAAGAAAAATATCAATCAATAAAGCATTGAATATATTCAATCAAACCCAATCAACATCTTGAAAATAGTAGAACTGTCATAAAAGTTTGAGATAAACAGCATGGTTAAACTTAAATTTCTAAAGTTGGTGATACACACAAAGCCACCGGTACCCTTACCAACTTATCCCTTGTTTTGGTCACGAAATATACATACATTGTACATACAACAGTATGACTCGTGACACGGTAACGTACCTGTACACCTTGGCTCTGAGCCTTCACCCCCACATCCCCACCTGGTTGTTGTTTCTGTTGTTCATCTGGGTTCCATTCTTCATCAGAATACTGCTGATGCATCTCTGCTATTTAATGCTGCAGGGACAAATTACACATGTTTTATAATACAGAAATACCACAAGCTTAATGAATATTTACATCAAAGTATGACTTTTAGACAAGGTGTATAACTTTTGAGAAAACTCTTCTATATTACATGTTAATTTTCATTTTTTAAATTCTAAATCCACTATAAAGTAATTACCTCTGTGAAATTGATTTTATTAAAAATGTTGACACACATGACAATTTTTAATTACACATAGCGATTAGCGCATCCACTTGCTGCTTAAAAATGAAAGAAAAAATCCCTCCCAAATCAAAAGTAAATGAATGCTGGACAACTGGCCCCCAAGACAGGTTGCCCCCAAGACAACTCGCCCCATATTCAGGAACTCGCCCCCATTCAGGACAACTCGCCCCCACTCAAGACAACTCGCCCCCTGTTTGAGAGACCAGCAAATATTAAATATATTATGATACATAGATTTGAATTCAAATTGTTTCTATAAAATTAAAATAAACATCTGGAAATAAATTTTTTCATTCTATTGAAAACGAAACAGAAATACAATGTGTTAATAATTTAAACACTATCGCTAGTATTGTTGCTACTGGCACCTTTTATTTATATCTTCGCTAAATTCTTACATAGATTTTATTTTACACTTTTATCACAAAACCTAAATAAATGTAATTTTCAGAGCTTGCATGCTTAAATTCTCCAACAAATTGAAACTGCTTTGGAGCTTGGATACGACACGCCAATTTTTTCTTTAAAAGACATGTAATTTCGGGGCTTGCATGTACTAATTAAATTAGTTATCACTTTGAAGTATCAAAATTAGTTGTTAGCTTGGGTATGTCATTAAAATTTCTTCTGATGTTTTCATTTAAAATTAAGTAATTATCAGTATCATCAGTTTCCTTACACCGTCAGTTAAACGTTAATTTCGTCATTAAATAATTTAGATGTTTTAACACTGAAGAAGATATGCTTCATTAAATTAGAAATATTATATAAATAACAATTTTAAAGATATGAAAAAAAAACGCTTTTATTAACTCTATTTCATAAGAATAAAGTTTAAGAAAGCATGGATATTAATGATAAGTATTTGATGCAAACACAGTACAGTGTTTTTATACAAAAAAAAAATGTAAATCCATCATGATTAAAAAATAAATAACATATAGCTATTACAACTGTAAATATTGATTATAATTTAAATTTGGATATAAAATATACATTATTGAATATTACACTTATTTTTTCCCTTGCACTTTACAAGAAAAAATAACGGGGGCGAGTTGTCTTAAGTGGGGGCGAGTAGTCCTAATTTGGGGGCGAGTTGTCTTGAGAAGTGTTGGGGGCGAGTTGTCCTGATTCCAAGTAAATAGACAGAACTGCAAAAAATATTGTATGAAACAAGAGCATGATATGTTCACTAAAATTTTCCATCACAATATATCAATATGCATGCTGAAGTCAGTGTACTGTAATTTCTACATGTATCAATATACGTAGATTAATTGAGAAATACTTCATTCAGAAACTCCTGTGGTTCAGACTACAGTAAAAAATGGCAAGTTCCTTATCACTAAATAATAATTTAAAATTCCATATATGCACAAGATAAAGTGAGCATGCATAAAAAGTATTTAAATTTAACTTTCTTTAGTGTTAAGTTTAAGGATAAATAACACAAACAAACTTTTTTCAGAAATCAGCATTATTTCTCATAGATTAACATATAAATTGACAACCTGAATAATGTTTACAAAGTAGAGTGGGAGAATTTTATAAGATTTTGTCATAAAGTTAAAAAATTGTGCAAAATTTTGTATGGAATTATATAGAAGGCAATATAAAATCTCAAATCTAAGCACCAAGGAAAACCTACGATTTCTTTATATTTCAGGGATTTATTATTTATATCAATACAAAGCAAAATCAGTCAAAAAATATATATCAACCCGCGCATCCATTTTTTGTTTGTGGTAAGTACCCTTAAAATTAAATTCAATCTATTATCTTACATTACTCTTGCGCCATAGCCTAATGGTCTACTTTCAATTCACTATACTAATTTTTGACCTTCAATATTAGAGAGCTCCACTTCTGTAGCAAACTCGAAATACTTCAAATATCATCTTCGCTAGACTGGTATTATGGTATTGCCTGTCTTTATCGTACGCAGGATATCAGACAGGCAGCCAGTCTACATCTTCGCTAGCTAAGGGTTTCTGATACACTACTCCCCGATTATGAGGAGAGTAGCGTACTAGAAACCCTTGGCTAGCTAAGATGTTCAAATATTGATAAGAAAAGGGGGAAAACCCACAAAATGTGGATTTTATGAATTACAAGAGGCCCATGGGCCACATCGCTCACCTAAGCACTGTGGCTAAGAAAAAGTAGAAATTGGTTTATTATTGAAAAGTTAAAATCCAAAAGTAGTCAAATGACCAATCATGGCTTTGCTATTCTTGAGAAGATGATTTTTAAAGAATTTTCCTATATGTGTCTCTGTAAATCTTTGATCGGCCATTGTGACCCCACCCTACCCCCGGGGGGAGGGGGTCATGATTTTAATAAAATTGAATCTACACTACCTGAGGATGCTTCCATATATGATCAATTACATGACTTTGCTATTCTTGAGAAGAAAATTTTAAAAGAATTTTCCTATATATTTCTATGTAAAACTTTGGTCGGCCATTTTGGCCCCGCCCTACCCCTGGGGGTCATGATTTGAACAAACTTGAATCTACACTACCTGAGGATGATTCCATGTAAATGTGATCAATTATGGCTTCGCTATTCTTAAGAAGTAGACTTTTAAAGATTTCTCCAATAAATTTCTATGTAAACTTTGCTCGGCCATTTTGGCCCCGGCCGCCCTACCTCCGGGGGTCATGATTTGTCTTTTTTTTTGAACAAAATTGAATCTACACTACCTGAGGATGCTTCCATATAAATATGATCAATTATGGCTTTGCTATTCTTGAGAAGAAGATTCTTAAAGATTTTTCCTATATACGAGGGGTGATCAAAAAGTTCGCAAACTAATTGAATAACTTCCATACAAGGAACAATATTTGGTTTTAATGCTGATTATATTATTTTAAATTAATCCTCCCCGATTTTAATGCACATCAACCACCGTTCTGCGCATGCGCGAATCACGTGATATTGGCGGTCACGTGACCCTCTCCGTAGCGTTCTGTCACAAAAGTTAAAAGATTTTTCCGAGTTTTATATTTCTTTCCATGTGAGTTGATTTTTATGACAAGAACAGTTATTTTGTCAGAAATGGTCATATCTCGGCAACGGAATGGGTGAATAATAACATCCTTTCCAAAAATAAGCATGGCGACCATTAAAACACAAATCTTCTGTCTCAGGAGAGACCTTTATTCAAGGTGGATAGAGAATGGGTGCATCCTTTTTACCATTTCTAATATGTTTAAAATCTAAAGTAAACAATATCTTAGGTATTTAATACTTATATCATTGTTCAAATATTCAACTATTTTTCAAAGTGCTAATTGGAGGTCTTTGATAGCAAATTAATTGCTTAATTAAAAATACATATCTTTTCAGACTTGCTTTCACTGGGCAAGATGACAAGTACCATTTTTAACCATCAGCCTTCCTTCACTAAAACGATTAATCCAATCATTAATTGAATTTATAGGAACTCATTTATCTCAATAAACTGTGTACAAATTATTATATGATACTGTAGAGGGATTTCTAAGATATTACAATAAATTGTACAGTCGTTTGTTGAACGAGTTCGACTGAGACAACCATTTTTCGTCACAAGTGACCTAAATAGTGACGTCATTTTCACATTGTGACTTCACAAACAAGAAGGAGAGAAACTTTATTCAGTATATGCTATTTATAGACCTTGTGTATGGCTATGTGTGTACCGAATTTCATTCTAATCTGAATTGTGGTTTTGTAGATATAGAGATAGTTTGCGAACTTTTTGATCACCCCTCGTATTTCTATGTAAAATTTTGGTCGGCCATTATGGCCCCACCCTACCCCCGGGGGTCTTGATTTAAACAAAATTGAATCTACACTATCTGAGCATGTTTCCCCATGAGTTTCATCTTTCCTAGCACAGTGGTTCTTGAGAAGAAGATTTTTAAAAAATACCATTAAATTTTCATTAATTCACAATTATCTCCCCTTGAATGAAGGCGGACCTTTATTTGAACAAACTTGAATCTCCTTTACCCAAGGATGCTTTGTGGCAAGTTTGGTTAAAATTGGCCCAGCGGTTCTTGAGAAGAAGTCGAAAATGTGAAAAGTTTACAGACAGACGGACGCCGGACAAAATGTGATCAGAAAAGCTCACTTGAGCCTTCGGCTCAGGTGAGCTAAAAAAAAAGTACATCTCAGGCGTGCTTCCTGGTTGACTATTATCATCAGCACACAGACACCTAGTATAAAAGTTTAAGAAAGACAAGGGGGGGGATTAAATACAAATTTTACCAAAATACTGCTATTATTTTATGTATTGTGATGAAATGTAATACGATTAGTCAATTTAGCAACATGCAGCTGTATTTATTGAAAAGTTTAGAAAAGCATGCTTAAAAATGAAAGAATTATTGATTTTGAACTTTTGATAATTTGTTTTACCCATGTAAAGTTTTAGAAAAACTTTGATGCTATATTATTCTTCCAGCTAGATCTTCTCTTTTGTAGTAAAATATGGGAGTGAATCTCTCATCCAAAGATACTTTTTTAAAAAATTATCACTTAAAAAAATTATTATATTATAAAAAATATTATTCGTGACGTATTACTATAAAGTGCGTCAGATTCATCATGCCTGGGCCTACGACAAGATTACGATCTTCAAACAATTAATTCTACCTTCCGATGGTTTGGCTACAAACCCTACGTGTCGTTAAAATATCAATGGGAAACCTCTGCGAAATCAACCTCAAAGCCTCAAAGGAATCAAACAGTTGCCACACAGTCATAACTGATTCTATCATAGAGTGTGCTGTCTCGAATTTGATAACTGTTCAATTTTTGAAACATTCCATCTGCATGTCAAGTCTTCGAATGAAAAAATTTGGAGATAACGAACAGTATTCAAGATCAAAATTTAATGTCCATAAAACAATCCCTTGTTCTCTATAAAATATGTTCAAAACAATCAAAACCTGATCCTACTTCTGATGTTTTTGGAGATCTGTGTTTGCTCTGCTCCAGTTTTGTATTGTTTTATGGACATTTGATCTTGAATACTGTTATCTCCATACGTTTCACTCATTTTGATATTATTTCATATTTAACTTTTAAAAAATCGTAATATTTTTTTTTTACATTTATACTTACTTCAAATCTCATCATTTCCATGTAAAATGGGTCATTTTCAAAAAAAAGTTCGCTAAATATAACATATTGCACTCTTTTGCAAAATTTTATATAAAAAACTGAATCAATCAAAATGTTTTCATCATTTGCTTTAATAAGATACACAAAGAATACAATTTCAGACATAAGTTGCTTAGTTATTCCTCATTTTCATTTGTCATGTCTTCAGTTTTCCGCATTCAGATTTATCTGGATTTACACATTAGCTTCTCCCCATTGTCCCTGAGGCATATTTCTCCTGATTTGTGCATTAGGTACTTCCGGCTTTCCCGGAGGCATATTTCTCCTGATTTGTGCATTAGGTTCTCCCCAGTTTCCCGGAGGCATATCTCTCCGGTTTTCTTCATTCAGACCACCGTACCCTGTCAAATCAAATGATTAATATTAAAGCTATTTTTTCAATGCTCTCGAAGGAATACGTTCCTTTCATTCTTCATGTAATAGAACAATTAAATCATTGGAATTAATTTATGACTGTGTTTTAAATGCTACCATAACTTCGTCACTATCCTGACACTCCACGCTATTTGTAAACTAGTGTGATTTTGACGTTATTTTTGCATGCTGAAAATCTACAATCAAATTCCGAGCTCCTATAAAGAGTCAAATTCAAAAATGCAACAAAACATATCAAATTTACACTTAATCTATGCGAGGCTTCATATTTATATGAAATCAGGAAGCACCCTTTTCCCTTTTGCGTTATTTCATCGTTATCTCCGACAGGTGCTTCAACATACTCAGTTTCACTTGTCAGTTTTTATGAAGGTCTACATGTATCAGAAATGTTACACATGGCATACCATGTTGAATACAACTAAATAAATTTATTTTTTGTATCATTTGCCCAAATACACGACGCGTTATGATAACGTTAACGCGACATTTGTAATAAAAAATACGCTATATAAATGTTCTTTGTGTATACTGCTGATGCCTTTCTAAAAATACAATTTAACGAGGCCGCATATAATTCTAGTGCGCATGACTTTACGCAGCTTTTTAATTTCATGCAGTCATTTGTGCGATTATGGTGGCATATTTCTGCCCCTTGTGTGCAAGTTATTTTTCTATCAAATATGTCGACATGCAAGATAGATATGTTAACATGCAACATAGCTATATCAACATGCAACATAAATATGTTGACATGCAAGAAAATTGCAATAAAATAAAAATTTTAAAAAATCTTCAAAAATCTCAAATATTGCCCACATGTGACATTCAACATGCTAAATGTTACTTATTTATGTTAACGTGCAAGATAAATATGTTGACATGCAACTTAGATATGTTAACATGCATCTTATTCATGTTGACATGCAACTAACTTATGTTGACATGCAACTTATTTATGTCGACATGCAACTTGGTTATGTTGACATGCGAGATAAATATGTTGACATGCAACTTATAATTTGCATGTCGGCATAACTAAGTTGCATGTTTACATAAATAAGTTGCATGTCAACATATTCATCTTGCCTGTCAACATAAATAAGTTGCATGTCAACATAAGTAAGTTGCATGTCAACATAAAAAAGTTGCATGTCAACATATTTATCTTGCATGTCAACATAACTAAGTTGCATGTCAGCATAAATAAGTTGCATGTCAACATAAATAAGTTGCATGTTAACATATTTATGTTGCACGTTAACATAAATTAGTAGCATCTAGCATGTTGGATGTCACAT